TAACGAAATAAGCACGTATAAAAGAACTAAATTTAAGCATAAAATTATAAACTTTTAATTGCATTATATTTATATGTTAACCAAAGAAAGGGCCTAATTAAAATTATAATATGCTAAATTATGGTATTTATGGCTTATAATTTAATAATTAAATGAGTGTTGAAGTGTCAGACTAATACCCATGCCACTTCATTATAACCCCGAAACATGATAATTTTAGTTAAAAGTTAAAATTTAATTGAGAAGTTGCAGTAAATTAATTTATAATTTAGACTATGCCTTCTATGCACACAGCACAGTAATGCACATTACTGTCATTACACTAATACCCTAACTCACTGACACCAGCGACTAAGTCAAACCTGAGTTACTCGACTCATGAAAATGTTTAAGTCTAAGTTAAAATAGTTTAAAACTACTAATCTAATACTAACTATTAACTAAGTAATACTAATTAATAGGGTAAGTAAGGTGGGGTATTAAGCACCATGGTGTAATAGGCACCACTCACTGGGGGACCCTGAAAATTCACTCTATAACTATAACAACTAAAATAGTGTGGGCAATGGTCAATAGGCATACCAGTCTTATTTAGTTTAAGCCTATCACAGAAGACTGCTTTTAAACATATGTTTATCTCTTAACCAAAGAAATTAATTTTTTTTTACTCTAAATGACCGCATCCTGCCTTCCTTGTCAGACATGCTGAAGCACACTTAAAATTTTTCGCTCTGAATGTTTAGCCCTAAAACCTTTTTTTAATCATTATTATTGCTCACCTGAAAATATTCAAAATTGCCTACAATACTCAAGAAAGACTCCATGTAAGTGTTATAATTTTTTGATTTTGATGATAATGATGTGATTGATTGATTTTTATAAAATTTCCTCCAAAATGCGAAATATAAAGTTGGGTCCATGTTAACATTTGTTCATTTGACACAATGTTCAATTTTTTGCTATAGAATCTTCACATGTCAATTAATACAGTTCACTTTCAACAGTTTTAATCTACATTGGCTTCTTAAAAGTATTTTAGGCCTATTTGAAGGGATTTTTTTAATAGGGGGTGTTTAATGCCCCATGCTTGACTTTTCTTAATTGTATGGTTAAGTTTATGGACTAAACACCTTCATTTTGTCAAAGAAAACTGATTTAAATTTTGGATTTAGCTCCAGAAATTTTTATAATAATATATGCAAAGAGCAAGCAGGAAAAGAGTGATTCATCGTTTGATTTCTTAACAATATAATTGCATGAGGTTGGAGACACAATGCAGGGCAGTAAGCACCTTTTTCTTTGTTGTGTTTCAGAATGGTACGTACCTACAAAAAGAAGAATGAAGGTGCAAGGAAGAATTTAAATTAGTGCAAGGAGATGGTTGATGCAGTAATGAAGAAAGAAATGTCTTTGAACTAAGCGTCCGGGTACTACGGTGTCAACAAAAAATTGCCACGGCAACAAGTTAATGGAAAAAATTCCAGTTAATGCCCATGCTGGCAGGAGCACCACCCTGTGTTCTCTACATGAGCAAGGACTTGCTGAGTACTGGTAACTTTTTGGCAAGCTGGGGTTAGGGATTTTCTACTGAAGAACTAAAAACATTTGTTCAACAGTTCACCCAGTTTCTCAAGTTGGAGACTCCTTTTGTAGATGATCAACCAGGAAAGACTGGGCACTGCTGTTCCTGAAATGCCATCCTGGCGTTATGTTCAGAAAAACTGAGCACTTAAGTAATGCTCTAGCAAGAGGGGAGAATTCACAGGTGCTTGCAGCTTGGTTCGATCTTTTAGAAAAATTTCAGGATGAACATGGCATCAAAGATCATAGTGCCCAGATTTTCAACATCCATGAAACAGGGTTCAACACAGAATCCAGGCCACAGAAGATGTTAGCAGAAAAAGGTGTAAATAGGGTAACACATAGCATTGGGGGCTCTGGCAGAGAGCAAGTCACGGTCAGCTGTGCTGTGCCTCCCAGCAGCAAGACTCTTCCTCCTTTCATAATCTACACTGGAAAGAACTTGTGCATGGCATGGACTGAAGGTGGACCATGCATGCTGCACAACTAGCAAAAAAGGAAGGATGGAGGCATCACTTTCCCTAGAATGGTTTCAGAAGATCTTTTTAAAGCACACTGCAGATGTCAAAGACTTCTTGTGTTTGATGGCCATGTGTCTCATCTATCCAAGGAACTGATTGAAATAGCAAAGAAGAACAATGTGCCCTCATGCGTCTGCTTTTACACCTCACTCATTTTCTGCAGCCCCTAGACAAGGCAGTGTTTAGACCAGTTAAGGCCATGTGGCAGTCATATCTGGTGAAACATGCCAGGACCCATTCAGGACCAGTAGGAAAGAGAGACTTTCCAAGGATCTTAAAGAAGCTGTTTCAGGAATCATTTACGTCTGATGTTATCAAGTCAGGATTTGAGTCAAGTGGACTGTGCCCTTTCAATAAACAACGGGTTAATTTACCTGAAAGACTCCAAGTGTCACTGGACACTGTTGGTGGCAGAAGTGCTCCCCTACCACACCCCTAATGCTGTTTTGGGCCATCCACTCTGACCCATGACTCTCTCATGTCTGTCATTCAGCCACTTTGTCAACCTCCACGTCAGCTGAGGACATTCAGCAGCTTCCGTCAACACCAATTTGTCTGCCTGAACAATCTACTTCAACTTCAAGCCATATTGATACCCCTCTTACATCTGAGGTTTCAACCCTAAAAGACCTTTTTATGAAAAAATTTGAACGAATGTTGAAAGTCAAAATAGTGGGAGGTCTGCATGCATTCGTTTCAGGCATGGGGAATGTCTGACCTCAGAAGAAAGTGCTCAAAGAACAATTGTAGCAGCAAAGATTTTTGCACACAGTAGACACAGTATTACCCCATATTCATATGTTGTGTCAAATTTCATTAAAATTTTTCTGACAAGCTATATTTCCTTGAATTTTATGTTTTTGTTGTTTATTTCTGCCTGGTTTAAGGCAAAAAACATTAGTTTGTCACAATAAACCTTAAAGGTATAAGTAGGCATTGTATTTTTCTTTTCGAGGAGACAAAATTCACAGAAAGCAAAAAAGGTGGTGCTTAATGCCCCACCTTACCCTACTACTAATACAAAATGTTTGGTAACAGTTTAGTGGTTAGTAACAAAAATTGTGCAGGCTGCCAGAATGCAATTTTTGAATTGGCAATAGTTTCAATGGTCATTGGTCATGGAGAATCTGGACTGACATTGACTTATTGGTAAACATGCGGTTTTATTTATTTATTTATTTATTTAGGCATTTTTATATAGCGCTTACCATAAAGCTCTAAGCGCTTTACAATTATTAAAAACATGTAAACTAAGTAAAATAAAAATGAGACACTAGGATAGTAACTACTATACAATAGAAACAAGGAAAATGGCTCAGGTGCATATATTATTTCTTAACCAATTTCATATATCAGCAAGTTAACTTGCATGTATTTGTTATTAAATTAACTCCACCAGGAAGTAATAGTTAACTAACACTAAATTGTATATTGCCATATTTTCTTTTTACCGTATTCTGATTTCTAAAGTGTCTTACAATGTTACATGGCTACTGAATGATTTCTCATATATGTTTTCACCCTTTGTGCCACATTTTTTCACCAATAAGCTGGTATTCTAAATGAAATTTTCAATCTGAAAGGCATGTTCACAAAAACGAAACAAGAAACTAAATTTATATTAAATTATAGTAAATTATTCATTGATGTTTCACATAAACAAAGCACCTGACTGCACTTATACAACATCAGCCAAGATTTGGTCAAGCCCAAAATCTCTCATTTTAGCGTACCAAGTTCTAGATCATTTATTTATTTCATTATTAAAAGGATTTTATGAGACAAATTAAAATTGTCTTTTTGTCCAGAAACAAAAACTATGAACCAAATTGTACGAGATCAAAAAAAATATTCCATGCTCCTTTTGTTCTTCACAACACCATTGTGATATACAAGGAGAACTCTAACATTAAAAATCCCTTTAAAAATCAACAAAAATATAAGACAAACTAATTGGAAAGCAATAAATTCTTAGGCAATCCTCTGAATGAACAGTATACTTTTTGTTAGAAAGTGCCAGGCAACTCCAATAATATTGGTGATGTAATTTTTAACGTCTACGATTCTGAATGAATAAAGTTTTCTTGCAGACTAATTAATTGCTTGTAATAATATAAAATTAACAATACCGTGGCCGGCAGACCGCAAGCACCGGTTCATTTTGCCAGGAAACATACTGCAAACTTACGACACAACACCCAAGGCATTGTATGGCAGCATGCTTTGGTTAGAGTGGCTTGCTGAACACCATCTTATAACTGTCAATGTCCTATGTCCCGAGTCACCTGATAGTTACAGATGAAAGTGCCATCTGTGCAATATAACATGCAGTATACTCACTGAGTCATTTCTTGCAAACTGTGGGCTAGCACGCAGAAAATCATCATGTTGATATTCTATTTGGTTTACGAATGAAAAGCAAGTGTGGTATGCTTTCAAAAGTATTGAAAGTTGGTACAACATTTTTAATTACAACAACTTTTACCCAAGTGAGTGTCAGAATAGGTTTCAAGTTCGATATGGTGGAACATGCCATGGCCGTTTGCCAAGCTACTTGTATGCTTTCCAGTAGCACTTTAGCAACAAAGAACACTTTTTTGGACGCTAGATGAAGTTGAGTGAAAGTTATCACATTTGATCATGAACCTTGTAAAATATGATTGAACTGCCAAAGTAACTGCTCATTCGATGCGTTTTACTGGTGTTTTGAATTTGGGACGGGCGTTCGGAGGAGTGCCAGTACTTGTCCTTCTTTACCATTTGAATTTTTTAAATGCCTACGGTTTACATACTATGTTTAATGGAGAAAATAATACCTAAACCTAATTTATTTTCATTTTATTTTAAAGCAATGTATATACAGACAATACAGAAGTTACCACTCCATGCACAAAAACAGCAAGTAACATCAAAGCTATTGACAAGGCAACAGTGCACAGAATTTGTTCTGGCCAAGTTGTACTTACTCTTGCCACTGCAGTGAAAGAGTTGGTAGAAAATAGTATTGACGCTGGAGCTACTAGTGTTGGTAAGCTTAAAATTACAATGTTCTTTTTAAAAACAGACTTCTTTCAAATATTTTTATTCAAAGCAAGTGCCACAACCAACCCCTTCGGTGTCTGGCATATGCTTATGACACAGCACTGTAAGTGAAAAGTAGGAAAGATATATCAAGAGCTTTTATTGAATTAGAACATGCATGACTACAACTATAAACAGGGCTGGAAGTTAACAATCAAAAACAAAATACATGGCTATGATATGAAAAGAACAGATGGAAAAAAACATTTAAATTAGAAACTGCACTTTTGAGAATGTAAATCAATTCAAATACCTAGGATTTTAATTTAATGAAAGAAATGAGTTACTAACAGAAATAAAAGAAAGAATATCAGCTGGAAACAGGGCATACCTCAGTAGACGGAAAATACTCAAAAGTAAAACCAATACAAGAAAAACAAATAAAACTATATATAAAGCTGTAATTAGACCAGTTCTAACATATGCAAGTGAAACTTGGACCCTAACAAAAACGTCAGAAAACCTATTAAACACATAGGAGAAAAAAGTTATCCAGAAAATATAACGACCAACAAAGGATGAATATGGATGGAGAATATGAACCAACCAGGAATTGTATAGTCTTTATCAGGATTCCACACTGGTAGCAGAAATAAAAAAGGGCTATGCTGGGCTGGACACTTAGAAAGAATTCAAAATGACAGAGCAGTGAAGATGGTGCACCACCAAAACCTAAGAGAAAACAGCTCAAAGGCAGACCTAAGATGGCTTGAGGATGTGGAGAGGTATCTACAGCAGGTGGGAATCCAAGCATGGAAAAGAAAAGCATCATTTAGGCCTGAGTGGAAGGATGTTTTGAGGAAGGCCAAAGCCACAAGGGTTGTAATGCCACAAGGGTTGTAATGCCACAAGGGTTGTAATGCCACAAGGGTTGTAATGCCACAAGGATGGATGGAAGTCTCACTGGGTTTTTAAAAAAAAATCCTTATATCCCAGCTGAATGGATTAAATTTTTTTATATTTTTGACTTTTCTTTAAAAAAAACTAATTTTAATAGTCCAAAGGACCAAAAAATTAAAGTTTAAAACAATTTATTTCATTCCATTAGGCTTAAGCATACCTTAGGCACCATGGGGCAAAAGTTACAACTCTTTATTTTTAATATGCACTTTAAAAATTAAAAAACATTGAAAATATCAAAAATGAAGTAAATTAAATTAATAATTGAACTGATCATTGCTTTGGTAAAAAATCCATTTTTAATGTTTTATTCATTAAGTATTAATTCCGTAATAATTTGTTGTATTTTATTTATGTTACAATAAATTCTTATGTCAGAGATCAGACTCAAAGAGTATGGCAGTGACAGCATTGAAGTCATTGACAATGGTTTCGGAGTTGATGAGATCAACTTTGAAGGCCTCAGTAAGTTGACATTTTAAAAATTTTACTTTTTAATTCCAGTGTTTTTTGTTTGTGACCATCGTATTTTTATATTTGGGGTCTTACTTTTGCAGGTATAACAATGTAAAATTTGCTGTCTTTTTATTTCTTCAAAAAGCACTTAAGCACCATACATCTAAATTAGAAGACTTTGAAGATTTGATCAATGTGACAACATTTGGATTCAGAGGGGAAGCACTCAGCTCTCTTTGTGCATTAAGGTATACAAATTGATTTAGTTCTAAATTAAAATAAATTTTTATAAATTTTTATTTTATAAATTAAACTTTTATTAATCCAAATAAATGGAAATTGTTTTTTTGTTTCATTCATTGTACATATTATTTCAGCCTTGAAAATCTTAGTTTGAGTTTTTCGTTGTTCCTTAAAATTGGTCTGTAGCAAGAATTTCGTCTAGTAATTTTGGTGTATAACTGTTGAGTTCTTGATTGTGAGTTGTCATTTTGAACAGAGTATTGGCTTTTTGTTGGAATGGAGTTCTATTTTTCTGTTTCCAATGTCATGGAGAGTCCTTATGTCTGTAGCTAATTTGTCTTTGGATGGTTGTCATGTCATATGCCAGAAAAGATCATTTGGAAGAGAAATAATGAAGGGTGTGAGTCAAAAAGATACCAGATAAGTGTGTCAATCAACCTGACATGTCTCAAGACATGCGATGAAGACCAGTGATGTGTGTCAGTCAACCTAACATGTCTCAAGACATACGCTGAGGATCAGGGTCGTGTGTCAGTCAACCTATCATGTCGCAAGACATACGATGAAGACCAGGGATGTGTGTCAGTCAACCTGACATGTCTCAAGACATAAGCTGAGGACCAGGGACGTGTTAAGGGAGTGGAAGGGGGCGAGAGCTCTTGCCCCTTGTGCCAAATTGTTTTTTACTTGACCATTTCGTGGCCATACCTTTTCTATTTATGAGGGGTAGTATTTTCAGATTTCAACCCAGATGCTGTTTTTCTCTGGCACTGCCCTCTTCGCCAATTTTAAATTTATCAGATTCATTGTTAGTTGATAGTGACTTCTGAAGGGCCGACTCTTTCAACTTTCGGTGCTGTTGCTTTGTTGTGAGTACGTTGATGCTGACGATCTCTTAAATTGTGTCACATGGGGCAAGTACAAGCTGACAATCCTCTTGTTGCAAATGTACAACAGAAGAAATATGAAAACCCCTTGAAATCCATTCAGGAAAATGGAGATGAAATAATTCAGTTATTGTTGCAATATAAAAATGTATAAGGTTGTCATTATTAAAAATATGTCATTACACATTTTATTATAGTTATATCTATTCAACAGTAACATGAATGTAGTAACCAGACACACAACTGCCAGCGTAGGCACACGCCTAGAGTTTGACCTAAATGGCAAAATCATCTCCAGGAAGTCAGCTCCCAGGCAGGTAATCATGGGCAAGCAGTACATTTCGTTAGCTTTATAAATTTTACCTCCATGTCACATGAACATTTTTAGCTGGACATAAAAGTGAAACATGTCTTACATTTTAAATTAATCAGTTTCTTTAAAATAATGACACAGTCAAGAGGAATTTCTATCAATATCTTTCTTCAAAATGAATTTTTTAAATATATTTCAAAAGGCTTGATTTATACAGAGGGCCTCCTGATAGAGCCAGAGTTCAGAAATTGTATTTTATTCAATAATTTTAAAAAAAAACCTATTAATTTGAGTGATATTTTTAAACAGGTTGGCACAACGGTTGTCATTCAAAACATTTTTCACACTCTCCCCGTGCGACATAAAGAGTTTATGAGAAATCTGAAGAAAGAATTTGGCAAGCTTGTCCAGGTGCTGAATGCGTACTGTATCATAAACACAGGTGTCAGGATCACATGCTACAACCAGACAGGAAAGGGGTGAGTCTCACAAGTGTGCAATCCAAAATGAATGCTTCAAAAACACTTTACATACTTGTTGAAAATAAAAAGAAAGTCACAAAACAAGCAGCAAAGACATTTAACTGATTTCTTTGTGCGTCAGTTTTCATAATGATTAATAAACCTTGTGCTGGACAACAAATGCTGCATGTTTAAATAAAAATATTGCATCTAAAAAAAATTAAATAAATGATTAGCCTTGCGTTGCATAATAAAATGCTGATTATGATTTCATTTAAGGATATTCGAATCAGTTGAGAAAACAAAGGGTTGTAAATAGTGTATTATTTTTTGTTGGTATTAACAGAAGCCGAAACCTTGTTGTATCCACAAATGGGAATGACACAATGAGAGATAACATAGGAAATGTCTTCAGTCCTAAGCAGGTGAGAATGGCGTCATTTTTGTTATTTCTTCTGTTAAGGTTATCCAGAGCTGTATTTTATGAACTAGACGGAATAGCAAATATAATAAAACAAAATTGTTGAATGAATCAGAACAAGGAAAATCAAAAGTTAAAATTAATTATTATTTTTTTTTTAAAATGGATTTCATTTATGTTAGCTTTCCACATGTTGAGTCAAAAAAGGGTACAGCTCTGGAAGTGTATATCTTTGTTAGAAATAGGTTGACTTTTGGTATTATTTATTTATTATTTTATTATATTAGAGATATAATTTGCTAAATAAAAGTTGTAATGAGTTACTACTTTATTTAACCACGATTTTCTCTATGTCATCAATTTATGTCCTCTTTAAAAAAAAATTAGGGATTAATATTTTCCCCCTCTCCATTTTGAGCTGATTAAAAGGTGAACAATTCTTTTGTAAAATTCTAAAATGAAACCACCTCACTAGAAATGAAATTTCATTTAAAAAATTAACAAAACTGCTCCAGCTTCATGGTCTGCTGGAGTTTAAACAAACTGAAGCTGAAGATGAGATCTGCACTGACTTTGGCATTAACCCTCAGCAGAAGTCAAGTGTCAAATTCAGGTATTCAATTCATACTCTTTTTAAACAGCAGATCTTTCATTAGAGTTAGACTAAATGTGATCCTGAACTCCTCAAAGATCCAATTATCTGTCACACTGAGTTACTCTGGACTTTTGGTTGAATTCCAGATGTAAATGGGATTAACAGTTACTGATGATACCCAAATACTTTGACATTTACTGGTTTTGTGAGAGTGGTTTGGTTGTGGGTGGAATCTGATGGGTCAAGGGTAAATTGTTTGGGAATCTGATGAGTCAAGGGTAAATTGTTTGGGAATCTGATGGGTCAAGGGTAAATTGTTTTGGGAATCGGATGAGTCAAGGGTAAATTGTTTGGGAATCTGATGGGTCAAGGGTAAATTGTTTTGGGAATCTGATGAGTCAAGGGTCAATTGTTTGGGAATCTGATGAGTCAAGGGTAAATTGTTTGGGAATCTGATGGGTCAAGGGTAAATTGTTTTGGGAATCTGATGAGTCAAGGGTAAATTGTTTGGGAATCTGATGAGTCAAGGGTAAATTGTTTGGGAATCTGATGGGTCAAGGGTAAATTGTTTTGGGAATCTGATGAGTCAAGGGTAAATTGTTTGGGAATCTGATGAGTCAAGGGTATATTGTTTGCTTAGTGCTAGCTATGTAAAGGGTCCATAAACAAGTGAGATGTTTAAATGCTGGTGAACACAGAGTGGCAGTTAGTATGTTGAGTTAAGTTAGCAGTTAGTATGTTGAGCTATGTTAGCAGTAAGTGTGTCTTACCGGATGTCAAGTTCTTTTGAGGAGTAGTGTTGAGAGTTTGCAGACTGGGTGTCATTTTTTTTTAATTCTGAGAGTGACAGGAGCGATAGTTGTCAGAGAGTTTAACCCCATCAAGTTGTTGTTAGCTGTTCCTTTGATTTGTAAACTAAGATATTACTTTGTAAACTAGGATATCATTATGTATACTATGATATCACTTTGTATACTACAGTATCATTATGTATACTATGATATCATTATGCATACTATGATATTATTATGTATACTATGACATCATTTTGTAGGCTATCACATTATTTGTGTACTTAATGAATAAAGACAAAGGAAATCGGACAGTGCGTCAGTTTTCGTAATAATTAATAAACCGTGTGTGGACAGCAAGTGGCAAGAAGAAAACCTAGAAAAAACTGAGCCACCGAACTGCCTGTTAGAATACATGGGAGTTCGTAACAGTTGTCAGGTTTTAAAATATCTTATTTTAATAATAATTCTGTAGGATTGAAGGATTTGTTTCCAAGTGTGAACATGGACAGGGCCGCAGCTCATCTGATAGACAATTTATTTTCATCAATAAAAGACCTTGTGACAGTGCTAAGGTAATAAATTAACATACATTAAAATTTTGTTTCCTATTTTTTAAGTAATACATTTTTGGTAAAGCTATGTGAAGTTCAATATAATTAGACATTTTTATAATATCAGCAGTTGGTATCAATGAATGTCAGACAAGGCGACTCACTTTCATGTATCCTGTCTAACATCACACTAGAAAAAGTTATTAGAAGCATACACGTGAGCACCAGCGGAACCATAACAAGCTACTTCCAGATAGGTATTACAGAGCAACAACCATCTGGAACCTTATATAGCCTACCATTGCAGTACCTGACATATAAAGACGATATAGCGCTACAGGGTAGAAACAGTAATGACATGATTAAAGCATTCAGGGAAATTGAAAATGCCTCAGTCAAAGCAGGTCGTGATGTAAATGAACTGAAAACAAAATATATGATGAGGTCAAGAAAGTCCAATGCTGATGATAACATCAATATAAAAAAACACAAATTTGAGAGAGTTGCTACATTCAAATATCTAGGGCCAACTATAAACGAGTACGATGAAATAATGTCTGAGGGGAAAGAAAGAATAACAGCAGGCAACCGTTCCTATTTCAGCCTACAAAAGCTACTGGGAAACGAAAAACCTCTCAAGGGGAAAAAAGAAGACCAATATACACCACTATCATAAGACCAGTAGTTACTTACGCTAGTGAGACTTGGACCCTTATCAGAAAAGCTTAGAACCTTCTCAATACATGGGAGAGGAAAATCCTCAGAAAAATATATGGCCCAGTGATGGAAAATGATAACTGGAGAATCCATACAAACCAAGATCTTTACCAATTGTACAAAGACCCACCCATCGTCGCAATGATAAAAATAGGCAGACTATGCTGGGCAGGACATACTGAAAGGATGCTGGAATGTAGAGCAGCAAAAGTGATATACAGGCAGAAACCAAGGGGCAGATGACTCACCGGTCGCCCAAGTCTGAGATGGATCGACGATGTGGAGAAGGATTTACACCAGTTGGGGGTTCGGGCATGGAGGCGGAAAGCCATGGATCGTTCCGAATGGAAGGATGTGGTGGAGCAGGCCAGGGCCCTACATGGGCTGTAGCGCCAATGATGATGATGCCAATGAATGTCCGGCGGGCCGCAAAATTTATTGTGCCGGAACGCTTGCGGGCCGCAGGTTGACCACTCCTGCTTTAAACCTATTCATTTATGTTTTAAAGATGAAATAAGAATGTTGTTTAAGATTATATAAATATTTAAATACATTTAAATTCTCATTCCATATTCTATTCATTTTACAGATTTTGAAGATAATTAATGAAGTGTACCATAGTTACAATAGGCACCAAACTCCTTTTATTGCACTCAATATTTCAATGGACAAAGGTAATAATAAGATACATCTTAAAAATGATCCATATACATTGTATAAATATATTGGCTTTGTTCTTTGGGCTGAACAAGAATAAAATGAAATAAGAGCTACAGTATATTGATATAAACTTTTATTCTTATTTACTTTCTTGTTAGTTTGAATAATGGTCATTAATTATTAAAATTGGTTTTCAACAGGTGTAATGATATATTGAACAAAAATGAAAAAAAAAAAGTTTTTTCTACACTAACAGAGAAGATATTTATCTTATTATTTATTTGCAGACTGTTTTTTTTTAATTTTAGGATTACAAGTTAAATTTTTTTTAAAGCATTTATTTAACTCACACAAATGTTTTAGCCTTCATAGATTTGTTATAGATGATGTATCTTAGTATCAATCAATTCCAGAGACTGTAGATGTAAATGTGACCCCTGATAAGAGACAAATTTTTATGGAAGGTGAACGTCTCTTGCTGGCTGTGTTAAAGGTTTGTCCAGTCTCCAATCAAAAGATTGGGTGCAGTCTAACTCAATGGTTAAAATCTTTATACACTACTATGAAGTACTATTTGGTTATTGGAGTTTACCAGAAATTGCTATTTATTCAGAACATTTATTCCATGTCATTTATTATAACATGTATAATATAATCCACATATATTTCAATTGAACATTTTTGAATAGATTTAATGTTATTTGTAACGCAGGAATTTTATACAATTTTATGCATATCCATCAACACATTTTTCTGTTTACAAATTCATCCAGAGTTTTTTTTTTCAATGTCTTTTCAGACTTCTTTGACTCGGATGTTTGAACCAACCAGCTCAGTGTTCAAAGTCAATAATATTTTATCATCTCAATCACGTAAGTTCCAATATAGTGGAATATTTCAAACACAATTAAGAATTTTGGGTACCTGCCCTTAAAGCTTTTAACATTTGTATTTTATTTGTCTTTGTAAGAACATTTATCTTTGTGCTGAAAAGGAACATGTACATTTCAATCAAAATACATTCCCATTTATTCTGATCAATAAAAGAATCTTACCTTATTATCTGGAGATAATAAATGAAACACTTTAGGGGCAACACATATGTTAAAAATATTGGTCATATATTAGATCAATTTTAATAATGCATCATCAGTTTTTTTAAATATTCTGCTAAGTTATTTGACATTTAAAAAAAATTATACTTTTAATTTATCATTTAGCACTGTCTCGGAATAAATTACCTAATGATTGTAACTCAGACCCCAACACCGATCAGACTTTGACTTCGCTGTCCAATAGGATCAGCAGCCATCAAGGGTCTAAACCACAGGTATGACCTTATTTTAAGATACCTTTTATTGGTATTGGTATTGATAGTTAATAGAGAAAAGAAAAACTTCAGGCTACTTTGGATGACATCATAGTTCAGCTTTTGTGAGACTTTTTTTCCATTGTAACAGATATAAACAATCTTAAGTTTTATTCAGCAAATTATGCTTTGCTAAAATTAATGTATACTTATTTTTAAAATTGTTTTTGTTTATTATTTCGAAACACTGCAATTTTTAAAAAAATACTTAATTGCAATAAACTGGATCTAAAATGCCAGATTTCATGAATAATCCGAGAAGTGAAGCAAGGATAGAGATCATGCTATAAATGCAAATTCATTAGTTTGGAAATAAGAGCAAATATAGCAGCCTGAAATAAAAGTAAAGATTGAAGTTAGGAAATAAATCATAGATGGAACCCGGGGAAAAAAGTAAATGTATAAGTATAAGGAAGGAAAAAAAGCAAATATAAAGCAAAAGGATCATGGCATGCATGGACCTATGCAGAAAAAAATAAATTCTTTTTATTTAAACCAGACGACTATTTTATTGACCTAAAACATTTTATATTGTAGGCGAGCACTCCAAGCATGTCCAGTTCACTGGCACAACTCAAGAGATCATTTTCTAGTGCATTTGATAAAAACACCTCAAGCTCCAGCCCCCTGGTCACCAGTCCAATCAAAAGGTCAAGTAAGTTCAAGGTTACCTCATAAAAATTTATCATGGCCAGATTGTTATTTATACTTAGCAATAATCTGATGTCTGATGATGTGGCAGGAGGTTAGCGTGTCGTAAATGTTGTAGGATATTATACACAGGGAAATATTAATTGTCTTTCCATCAATGCTGCTCACACAAAGTCTGTTAAGAACTTAAGTGCTCATCTGCAATGCAGACGCAAGAAACACTGCTGGTCGTCCACCGCTTCATAGTTTGTTTCCATTTGTCTTTACAAGGTCTTGCCATTGGGACAAATAGACAAGGACACTAGAGTTTGGCTTATGAATTGAACAACTCTCCCTCACTTTAAACAAAATAAAGCTCAAATCAAAGCCTTGGTCATCTTCCCGTGCAAGGGACGAACAATAATAATAATATAAAAAAATATGTTAATTAGCATCACTTCGGGAAAACAATATTTCAGTATCCCTAATAATATGTTAATATTAATTTTTTAGCTGCACAAAAATTGTAATTTTTAGAAATAGCAGTGTTTAAAAAAAACAAAAAAATGTTTACAATGAATAATTTACAAAATATACTAATAAATATTGGAGGCAATAACTTGGTATAGTAATTTTTCTTTTGGTTTTCACAGAGTCAAGTAGCCTCCCTTCACAACTCAAACCAACAGGCACCATAACCCAGTTCTTAACCAGACACACTGCTACTGGCCCACCCTCCCCAGGTGACTTACATGATTCAACATGTAAAGACTATAAATGGTTGAGTGAAAGTCAATCTGATTTAAAGCTTTCTTTAAGTGAAGTTTTGGAATCAGACCCTTGTGATCTTTTAGCTAGTGTTGAATCTACTGATACTAGGGTAAAACTTATTGAACTGATGTGTGACAGTGTTGAAGATGGCAAAGCTGATCAAAATGAAAGCAGTCCACTTTCAGTTAGTAACCTACCTTGTCTGGCAGATCCTGTTGTAAAAATTTCTTGTGGGAAGACTGAAATGAAGAGTGTTATAGATTTGTGTGCAATACCTGATCAAGAAACGGAATTACAAAGTAGTTTAAAAAGTTGTAGTGATAAATTAGGCAGTGATGATGAAAAAGATTTGAACAACTTGTCTGTTGGATGCTGTGAGGAAAAGTCACCTGACCCATGTGAGGAAGAGTCACCTCACCCATATGATGGAGCAGATGGTGAAACTGAATGTCACAAAAATATTACCAGACATAAAACAGCCATCTCGCCAACAAATTTTGAAACAGGGTCCACAATTAAATTGGATTTGGTAAGCTTGGTTAGTTTAATCTAATCTATAGATTTGTACAATTCATAGATTTAGTGACCTATTCTAAAAATATCCCAAAGTTGTCCAGTCATAGACAACCCTATTTGTATATGTACACTGACAACCACATTTATAACTGCTTTACTTTTAAAATGCGTCTATTCTCTTATTTATGAATTTTAAAATATTGTTTCTCACATTTTAAAAACAGCCTCTAACTCATGAAGAGACATCTCAGCATTCAGAGAAGGTGGTACAGTTTTCTCTTTCCAGTCTCCAAGACAGAATGGCAACCCTGAATCTGGAAAATTCCAAAAACCAAACCTCTTTTTGTAGGAGTTTTCGAGCCAAAATCTGTCCAGGTGACAACGGTTCAGCAGAAGATGAATTGCAAAGAGAGATAAGGTAAACCACATCATAGCTAACAGTCATAAACAAATTTAAATTTAATGGATTGCATAATGTTCATATTCTATAACTAAGAGAATTTAAGACATTTTTTATATTTTTAGAGCATCTTTTTTTCTTTAAAATGTTATTTCTCCAAGATAAGTTAAAATCATTAAATGTACTTTCCTTCAGTAAAGATATGTTTTCCAAGATGGAGATTCTTGGACAGGTAAGTTTTTATTTTGTCAAATTTTAAGAACTATTGAAATGCATCTTCTTTTTAAGTTTTAGAATGGTTTTATTTCTAAAATTCACAATTTTATTTGATAAAATGTTCCTTGTTTTGGCATGGAAGTTTGTTTTCTAATATGAATCTCAGTTTTCTCACTTTTATCTTCTAATTATTTTTTTTGTGTGTTTAATTCAGTATTTAATTTTTTTATTTGAATTTTAAAATATCTTTTTTACTATCCAGTTCAACCTTGGTTTTATTATCACCAAGCTGGGCAGTGACTTATTTATTGTTGACCAGCATGCCACAGATGAGAAGTACAATTTTGAGATGCTTCAAAGAAACACAGTGTTGCAGAGTCAAAGAATGATAGTGTGAGCTAAAAAAAAGATTTTAAAAAATTAAAATATTCACTATCTATCATCCAGTGTTGGAGGAAACATTAGTTGAACTGTACAAAATTATCATTTGAGTAACAGTGGATTGCTACAGTTTCAGTTTAACCATTATGTTTTCTAAAAATAATTAAATTACATTTTAAAAATATTTTTTTAATGATAAAGACTCCATGTATAAAAATCGTTTTTTTTTAAATATTGAAATGAAGCACACTGCATTACCTTTGAAGACAAGTGCATTAATAAGGTAAACAATTTCAGTCCTCAGAGTTTGGAGCTTACCGCCAGCAATGAAACTATTCTGATGGACAACCTGGACATTTTTAAGAAAAATGGATTTGATTTTCTTATTGAACCAGAAGGTTAGAAGATGTCTATTTTTTAAATCCTATGGTTCTCTCATAGTTTTATGCAATAAATGAGATCTTATATTATGGCTAACTATCAGATTTACTAATTCAATGAAAAAGTATACATGAGCCTAACTGCCAAAAATGTTGGTATAAGACAATATTAAACATTTATTTAGTTTACCAAGCTTCTGTTAATTCTAAATCACCAAATAATTAAGCATTTTAAAAAAAATGAATATTCTAATTAACCCAAATTAAAACTATAATTATTACTAGATATAGCCTGCCAAACTTTGGTGACAGCAATGCGTGAACTTCCCATCTACTAAAGTTATTTGACAAAACATTAACTCAAGTAGCACACATTTGAGAATCCCAATTTTTGCTACACCCATTCCCCCATGATACGTGTCTGCATACTTTTTACTTGCCGCCCGTGAACTTTATTAAATATTCTGATGTCCCAGCCACTTTTAAAGCTAATATTTTTACACCATACTTAAATTGAGACAAATTCATTTTCCAAAAAGAAAATATTATGCCCCAAACGCAGTTGCGATATTATATTTAAAAAAAAAATCATTTAGCGTAGTTATTGGGAATTATATTTAGCGCCCTATTGAATTCATTATTGAACCGTACTTGCCTTCAAACATGTAGAATTATTTTTAATATACTCGAATTATAATAATATAACACCAAATTGGCTGATAAGAAGCAGTCTATTAGGAAGCAGTCCATTAGGAAGCAGTCCACGAGTCTGTGGTGATCTGACTTATGACTTATTAGTGAGTGGTATCTCTCGTATGAGATCTCCTCTTGGCACTCTGTCTAGGGATTCGTTATTTAAGCCAAATTACCACACAGACATAACAACCTATCTATATACATATATTATAGACTGAATCGAAGTCTTTGTTAAAGGGGAAAATAACTATAAGTATTTGTTGAATAATAATAATATTTACAAATTCCTCCGTAATGCACTCTTGGTGATTAATGTATATACATCAAATGGATTTCATCCAATTAGAAGGGTATATCAATGCAATGCAAGTGTCACTAACATACTGACGGTATCATCATTATAAATGCTATATTGCTCAAGGTTCTATGTTCGATCTTTGTTGACTTAGCCTGTATAGTTTCACTGAGGATCTCGGTGGATCACACAGTGTGAGAGTTCCTTCTGTTCCAGAAGCGTGTCCCTGTTCCGGTCTTCGGGGCTGTTCTAAGCGTAGTAGCAAAGTCGGAGTTACGGGTCGTAGATTCCGTGGGATCTCTGCGATGGGGAAGATGACTCTCCAGCGATAAATCGTGGCAGTGAGAGTCCCTGGATCTCGAAGTCCTTCTAGTAGCCGTCAGGTAGTTTGGTGTAGGATGTAAATCAATCCCCTATTTCCGGCTTCAAGGTAAGGAAACCAGGTAGTACTCTAGGTAGTAGTCGCAGTTAATGATCACGCTAATGAAGTAATAAGTCTAGTTACTTCCAGTGTCCACAGTCAAGTGATCAGATCTTAAAAGACATATACTTGCTAATATCATTGCAGTTGTAGATCACGCTACTGAAGTCTCTAGTGAAGTTATCTCCAGTGTTTACAGTCAAGTGAAAACGCTATGATGTCTCTAGTGTAGTTATCTCCAGCGTCCACAGTCAAGTGATAATGCTATGAAGTCTCTAGTGTAGTTATCTTCAGCGTTCACAATCAAGTGATATGGATCATAAAAGAAATATTCTTGCTTGTTCTGGCTATTTATTCGAGTTGGGTGATGATTCAATTGGGTGGTTTAAAGGTTGTTTGTTTTCCGATCTAATGACAATCACTTTTGATGTTGTGGGTTTGACCTTCTACCCTCAAAGTTTATCGGGGCGAGGTGAAAATCCAATTTCACGCTTCGGCGTGAATTTTCTGGTGTAGAAATGCAATAACAACAAGGGACGCTACTCTGCTTTGCTGATTCCAGGGCAATACTGAAGGGCGGTATGGTATTATTTTCTCAAGTTCATCGGTGAGAGGGGTTGAACACAAAATGTACTCTTTTGGGGTGAGCGAACTGATGTGGAAATGCGATAACACCAAGGAAATTCACTCAGGCTATGCTACTGCGGGGCAACTTGAGGGAAAGGTATTATTATACAAGGGTTTCCAAGGGCGGATTTGCGATGGAAGAATTTTACAAAGTCCAGCCTCACATCATCACAGAGTCACACCAGAAGCATAATATATATATATATATACGGCATCCTTCCGTCTTCCTGAGACGATGGAGTAGTTATATAGTCCTACACTTTGATGAGTGGCTCACTAGGCCAATCCGAGAATGACAATCTCTACCGCATCTCTCGCAGGATATGTAAGAGATATTTGACCCTTAATAATAATAGCATTTTGATATTTCAGCTCCACCAACTCAAAGAGTCAAATTGACTTCAGCTCCAACAAGCAAGAACTGGAATTTCGGAAAAGATGGTGGGTTGAATGAAAAGCAGATAAACTTGTTTTCAGAGTTTATGAAATGATATTTTCAGAATATGAAATTTAACATCTTGTTACATACAGAAATCCTTCATTACCATCAACATGTTACTGAAAAAAATATGAAACTTTAAGATTTATGTATACAAATAACATTGTATTTCTTTATTATATATTTAAAATACCCTGAGTGGTAATATATGAGAGCCTTTGATTTCTAATGTGCCATTTTAAAATTTTAATTCTTTTGGTCAATGTTTGCATGCTTAATATTCCTTAAATATTTGAATACTTTATCACATTATATTCTTTCATTTGTATCTAAAATTTAGCTTTCTTAATGTATATGAATTTCAGATATTGAAGAGCTCTTGTTTATGCTGACAGATTCCCCGGTAGGTAATTTTATCTGTACCTTTATAGATATTCATCTATGAATAGATTGGGTAATTTGTTTATAAAATATTTATAGTTGGGTTTAAATGAGAAACTATAAATTTGCAGAGATGATTGATTGTTTAATCTTTTAAAGTTTAACTTTTTATTTAAATCCTTTGCAGAATGTAATGTGCCGTCCCACCAGAATTAGACTAATGTTTGCATCTCGGTCATGCCGGAAATCAGTTATGATTGGAACTGCACTCAACAAATCTGAGATGAAAAGAGTAGGTTCATTGAATTTGTTTGTTGGTTGTACTTTTTGTTTGTTTGATTAATTAATTAAGACTAGTGACCAATGTTAAATCTGCCAGATAAGCGTTCCCCAGATGGTGGATCCGCACTGGTCCACGAGCCTTAAGTTGTCAGTCCACACAACATGAATGTTTATGGTGAAGTACAAATTACGAAGAAAATCTGGCACTGGTCCCTGGTGCAATATCTAAACTTGTGCACTGATCCCCCAAACTGAAAAGTTTGGTTTAAGTTTGGGAAACACTACTAAATGACAATAATGCAACTTTATTAATGATCACAATCAAAGTTGTTGATTTAAGGAAATAGGGGAACAAGCTATGTTGAAGCTTGAAACGAGAAGACAAGACAATAAATTAAATTTTTTTCGGTTTACAGCCTTATTCAGCAGACAAGACATAACAAGATACAGAAAAGAATTCAAAAGGAGTTAAAAAACTTAAGTGTTTGGTTTTCGTCTTTTAATATTTGAATATTGTTTCATTTTTTTATCTGCAGCTTGTTTGCCATATGGGTGAAATAGAGCAGCCCTGGGTAAGTTTCTAACATATTCAGTGATATTATACATGATCCCAGCAAGGACTTATCTGTGAATTTTCAGCAGTGACTTACTTATTGTCTGCTAGCAAAAAATGGAAGGCAATAATTATAATTGTAATTCTTGGCTGCCTTGTTTTTTTCCTTTCACCCACGAACTGTGGTCGGGCGAAAACATTCTCGTTCTGTACTGTGGCAGCCGAAAAAAATCGGCCGATTAAAAACATGGTCTGAAAGCAACTTCCAATCTAATATTTAACCGGAATTATAGCCACTTCCTCATATTAATAATTAAATCATCTTCCGGTTCAAGCTGTTTCATGATAACTTAAAAAATAAGTACTTTTTAATCAGAGTTTAATATCGCTGTTTTTTTTAAAGCTAAAATGGTTGAAGCTATGGCTGGGCCTTCAGTGAAAGAACTAATAAAAATATGTTGAAAGCTCTTTGGGAGCGTTTTAAGAAAGCGTTTTAAGTGATACTGATGATGATTTTAAATTCCCCATGACATTACCAGTTGAGATTATTCTTCTCGTGAATTTTATACTAGTCTCAGTGATACTGAAATAGGCCTACTGAGGTTACTGTTAGACTTCGCGCCAGGCCCGGAGGTTGGGCAAGGACTGACTGAATTTTAGTCACAGAAGCTACAAATTATAGTTCAGAACTAATAAATTGTATAGTTAAACAACCCAAATCAGTTCCACAATACCTTTTTAAATGTTTACTGGTCAATAATAACTATTTTGCCTGAGATTTTGTATTTGGTACTTGCTTTTAGGAGTGGTCCCAGTTTCTTGTATAAATTACCTAAAATTACTAAAATTGCTTAGCAAACTATACATTTTCTGAAAGATAAATGAATTGGCTACAACATTTAGATTTTTGTTTTAAGTGTAGGGCGTATCTATAAAGAGTAATGATGTTATGAGCACTTGAAAGCAAGACATTTTGTGGATTATTTTTTTTCTTGAGAACTCCAAGGTCAAGGACGCTGAGCAAAATTTTTTTTTTATGGTTTGGGCAATATGACCAACTTTATCCCCATCCATTTACCTTTCTAAAAATATATACTTATATGGCTTTTGTATCAATATTTCTATTTTCATTTAATTTCAAATGGCACTCAAAACGCTCCGAAAAGCTCCACACCACAGAATGATGCATGCCACACTTCATGGGTTAAAAAATATACCAGATAGACATTTATTTAAGGTACTTCAGATGTGTTTTTGCACTATCATTTTAAGAAATACACAATTTAATGAGCATCAATTTTTAAATTTTTTTTTTTAGAATTGTCCCCATGGCCGGCCAACAATGAGACATTTGTTCAACATGGACATGCTGCCATCTTGACAAGTACTTTGTGAATTGTTTTTAAAAACCTCAAGTTGTATGACACATTTATTATGAAAATCATCTTCATTAATCTGATTAACTGCCAATTTATTTTAATGATTTTATATGAAATAAATAAAGAATATACAAAATCAAATTTTTGTTTAAATCATTTTTAATTTCATTTGAATCACATTCAATGGCATTTTTTTAATGTGAAAATGCAAATATGTACAACATGACAGTAATTTTACAAATTTAAAGAAAGAAACAAGAAATGTAAAATTTTCTAGTTACTTTTCTTTACAATAAGGTTAAAAAGAGTACAAAAGTAATCAACAACTCAGATGTTAATCAAAGGTCAAAACAGCTGTGTTTTATGCGGGTCAAGAAGATAGTATTTTAGGACAAGAGACCTAATTTTTTGTTTATTTTACCTACTAAGTATTTGAGGTAAAGTGACACCTATGATATACATGTTATCTAATATAAAAACTCTTGAAAATTAAATTCTCTCTATTGTTTGAAATGCTTACAGTTACAGTTCCATCATTTGGATCTGCTGCTTTTGTTTAATTTTAAGGTTAACATATGAAAAAGAAACAACAAAAATATTCCAGATTCATTTTCATTTTTAAATTGAGGTCAAACAGCATTAACCAAGGTTTGCGTAAATCAATGAAGAACTGAGCAAAAGCACAAGGACTAATTGTTTAATATATTTAATCCATGCATTTAATAATTTATTCAGCTAAGCACCATTAATAGATGGAACTTTTCCACTAAGGAAATGCGGAATTCATATAGATTTGCTAGGTGGCAGCAGTGAATGAATGAAATTCTAAGTTACACCCTTGTAATAAAGCCAAGGGGAGAATGCATCCATTATAAGTGATCCCCGCGTACATCTCATAGATCTTTGTGTACGTGAGCTAGGCATATTTATACAGAGAATAATATATGTGATTTAAGGCAGTTACTGGCATGTGAGATTTTCAAAGTCAAGCCTCATAATTTTTTTTTCAATTATCCCATTAAGCCTGACACTCTTCACACCCACTTCAATTTGATAAGTGATTAAATTGTATGCTACCAGTGTTGAAATATTTGTCTAGTTTTCTCACATGCCAGCTGTAAAGTCATCTAAAATACAAAGTTCAAGAGTATATTTACATATATCTCCAATTATTTTTTCTCTTATAGTGTAGATATTATAGTTTGGAAAAGGCTTATAGGTGAATTTGGATAACTTATTTTCAGTGTTGTCAAATTTCTTATACATGCATTTTTTTCTGCACTCCATAAAATGACTAATAAATATTACATGTTTTTATATTTAAAAAAAAAACAATATTTAAAAAAAATGGAAATGGGACTAGAAGCATGAAAGGGACATTGAAGATTTGCTGCCTGTGTATCAGCCACAACATAGCATATGACAGAAAACACGCGCTTTCACTGAACTCAAGCTCATATTCACTACCTGAATACCTGAACACATTCAAAAATGAACACTGCCATTATAAGCACACTCAAAAATACTCCTAATTAATGGGTGCACACACACACACACTAAGTAGGAACTAGATCTTCAACAACACTCAACTGACAAGTGTTATCATAAGTTAAACACCATTGGCTTGTACGAAAACGTTGATACTGAATGAGATTTATTTATTTTAATGTTAACAATTTTATTTGATGGATGTAAAAGAGGGTTTGAAATATTGAAATGGCTTCTGACAAATTAAAAAAAGTTATTCAGTTTTTAGCAGTTTGATAAAAACTCTATTCTGTTCTTTGCTTAAAAATATTTTTAGAAATTTCTGAATTTCACTGAATCACAAATGTATCATTACTGAGACAGCTGCAAACTGTTAGAAGGTCTACCAACATTTTTTTTAAACTTAAAAACAAAGCTTAAAGATTCAAGCATAATTATCATTCACCCCTTAAAGTCGACATAATAGTGATAAGTGTTTGCAGTACTCCTTTTTTAAAACCTTTCATCCCTTTAATCTATTTACGTCCACTTTCGTCATATTTACGAACTGATGCATACATATAAATATATTCATAAATATTGTTAGAGTTATCACTTTATTTTTCTAAAACTTCCCTTACATGATTATCTAAAATGGTTGTAAATTATTTAAATATGAATATTCATTCACATAAAAAAAAATTAACTTTATGAATGCTCCTATGTGTAGGCACTATTACCATATTTAAAGTTTTAATATTTATGGACAACTACTTACTAAGATCAATAAACCATATTTTTCTACTTTCTTTTCCCAGTATATAGTACATAATGTGTATATTTATATGTATCACATTTCCAAAGAAAATGTGTAGGGACATTTTGCTTGAAGTGGATTACATAAATAAGTTAACCTGACTTCAAAATCATAATAAATATGTCATGCTGATATGTTGTACATAATATAAATTAATTTGGTGACAACTATAACATGCCATTTTTAGCTATCATGTACTTGATAGTTGCAGAACAATATAATTTAAATATAAAGTCTTTTTCTGTCAATGAAGTGTAATTACATTAAAGATTACTTTTACTTTGGACATTTTAAGAACTACACTATAATTACTAAATTATTTATTTTAAAAATAATAAAATTACAATGCATTTAAAGGAAAAGGAATTTCCGTAAAATTGAATACATTACAAGATCGCCAGCGATTAAAGCATTAAAAAAATATGAAATGGACAGGAATCGTTGAGAGTAACATTGAACAAGATGGCCCAAAATAATAAATAAATGTAGATCATGAAGAAATATCAATAAATTAAATTCACAATAATATGTTCCATATTGCCTTCTGTTGAGCTTCTCCACAAGCAGCCAGAACCTTTCCACATGAACAGCTCCAATGTTCTCTATAAAGATGTGGAAGATTTCGGGATACAAGAGTATGATGGTTTTCTCAGTTTTTCATATAGTCATAATGAGGACATTGAAGTCTGAGATCTGATGAAGCAAAGTTATATAATCAGGCATCGTCTTAGCCAAGTGATTATCTTTATATGAGAGTTATTGTTAGTCTATTTGCTCCCTTATTAAAAAAGGCTAATTTATTAATTAAGTATTTAAACAAATATTTTTTGGCAAATTTAAATATAGAACAAATTTGAAGCTAAAGCTTACTTAATCTGCTTGTAACGCTCTCTGTCATAGCTGGTTTCTGCTGTCTCACATTCATATGATGCCAGGGATAACACTGAAAAGTAAGCAAACTTATCAATTAGATAATTGAAACCATTTTTTTAAATATGGAGTGGAGACACAATGGAAAATAGTTTAAATGTTTTTTAAATGGTTGAATTATGTCTCCATTTAGTGAATTTGGAGGAGGAGCTATAAAAAAAGTTAAATATAAAAGTGTTAAAAATCCAATTAAGTTTGACTTACTTGATTCTTTGTAAATTGGTGTGGTCAGGACATAATTAATAACTGCATTGTTTCTTTCAAAGGGACACTGTAAAAGAAATAAATACACCTCATTTAACCTAATGACAACTTTTTATTCCAGTTTATTAAGGTAAATGTCAAAGATTAAAAATAAAAGCAAAATAATATGAAGTATACAATTAAAACAACCATTTTTTTTTTTATTAACATCTGTTATTTTCAGATATAAAATTCCCTGATAAATGTATTTAATCATTCAGCCACACTTAATTTCAACACAGACCTAAAAGTCAAGGTTGAGCACTTCTCTGTCAGAGAAGTTTAAAAAAAACCTACCTCCACCTGTTGCCAGGCAATGAGATCTGATATCTGTTTGGCCATCTGCCAACATTTCTGAAAGTTAACTGTGCCATCCTCCTGTCGACTAGAGCAGCCCTCATTCAAAAAATAAAGATCTTTCACAAAAAGACTGAAGAAGGGAATCACAATCTGCCAGACAGAATAAATAGAATACATATTAAATTCTGGATCTGAAATAACAGTATATAGTATATATTAAAGAAGTTTCAAAATGTAATTTTATACCGGATTAATATTATTAATAGCTCATTTATCTTTAAATATCATTGACTGATGAACAATACACAGAAAAATTATTTTAAAAATGTCACTTGTTTTTTTTTTAAGCATTAACTTGACTTGGATTAGAAATTAAAAATTAATAAAGCTTACCTTTTCTCTCTCCTCAGCTGCCCCTTCTGACCTCCACATGGCAGCCTTTAAACATGATCTGTAGCTTCCAAAGTTGTTGCTTGGATCCATTTGATGCTGAAAATAAAATAATTGTTGTGTAAGTTAAATAAAATTTTAGACCCAAGAAGAAAGAAAAGGTTTCATTGTTTAGCACTGAAAGTTTTAGTTAACATCGCAAAACATCTTATGAAAGTCTGACTTTAAGCCACAATTTCTAATGTGAAAGAACGGTATCAATTTAAAAAAAAAAAAAAAAACAGTAATCCTCTTCATTCTCTTACCTCAAGAATTTTTAACTTGTCTCTGTTGACTTTTGCCCATGTTTTCTTTAAACGAGTAACAGGACTAAGATTCATTCCAGCAATGATGGCCATCAGTGAGTTGAAATTTCCAATATTGATACATTCTTTAGCAACATCAATAAAGTATTCAATCATCTTGACTCTATTCTTCTTTTTAATATGCTGAAAAAACATGATAAATTATTAATTAGAAATATTTTATGGTTAACTCTGTTCTTTAATAAAAACTTTTAAAAGAATATAAACATAATTTTCTTTCAATGATTTGTAAATGGATGTGGGCCTGGGTAAAATATTGGCTAATCTTTAATCTTTTAAATTTGATCGAATTGCTTATGACTTACCGAAGTTATTTCTGAAGCTACCAAGTAACTGAGCCTGTTGAACCACTGCACATAGGACTCGAGATTATGAGTTGTTTTTATATCTTGTATGTTGATGACCTGAAAGATAGGTAAACATACATAAAAATGTAGGCCTATTTAATTTACAGTTTTACCAATGAATTTCTTGACAATAAATAAGTGTAATATATTAATTATAAATTCTACTCTTAAAGTCATTTTATATTATTGAATAGCAAATATAACGTTCATAAATATAACCCATTTCTT